GCACATGTGTTTGTTGTGATTATGTAAGGCGGATTTTTTTTTGAAGAATTTTCCAAAATTTTAAACCGTAATGAAAGAAGAAATGGAATACAGAAAATAGTCATGTTAATGTTCTTGGATGTTACAGAAAACGTTGCCATATTTTTTTGTTTTAATTTTTGCTTCAAAAATCTTTGAACGCTCATTAGATTAAAAATTTCACAAATAAATATAATTTCCAAAAATTATTAGAATTATATTTTATATGGAAAACTGCAAAAAACTTACTAAAACAGCGGTTACTAAAATTTACAAAAATTATCAATCATTCTCATAAGCAGAAGATATTTTTTTATTTAAAAATCAAGCTCAGGTAAATGCAATGCGTAACATGATATTTGTTTACATGTAAATTATTCAGAGGACTTATTTAAAGCAAAGTATATATCCAAATTATAGATACCAAGGTAGATTTCATTTAAAGTGAAATGTACGAATAAACTCAGTACAATTAGTTCACAATTAATACTTCTGGCATGTCATGTATATGTTTATGCTGTATATCACCAGAGGCAACAAACCACATAGTTATTAGCTGCTTCTTAGTAACTGTAATTTATTATTTTTATCCTTGTTTTTTTTATTGTTATGATAGGAGAGTTCATTCATTGTGGAAGGCCGCTTCAGCTGATAGGAGTTTAGATGGATGTAAATATAAATTATGTATCCAAGTGATTCTATGTAAATCGTTTTTATTGCTGTTTTAAGTACTGCTCGTGTTAGTTAATAACAGGTTGGCATGAGCATCTATGTTCAAGCGTGTTAACACTCTTGTAAATGAGCACACATTTACACATACACACACACACACACACACACACACACACACACACACACACACACACACACACACACACACACATGCACGTACAAACTCACATACATACATACATACACATCGGTCCTTCACTTAACTTTACAGGAAAGATATTGTTTGTAATAAACATTGATGTAGGCATGGTGTAACATTACATATGAGAAGCTTTTAGATGAAAGCAATATGTGATTCTACTTGTTTGCTTGTTCGTTTCCTTTCATCATCCACGTCATCATCATCGTCATCATCATCGGCATCATCATCGTCATTATCATCATCATCCTTATTACCATCATCAGCATCAACATCTTTGAAATGGGTTGAATAATGTTTACACTGTGGGTTTCATTTTGGTAATTAAAGTTTTTTAAATGAATTTTTATACTTTTTCTATTTTTTTTGGTTATTTAAGACCCTTTAGTGGTCGTAAAATGTAAATCTAATGCAATTTCAAAAAATTAAGTGTTGTTGAACTCTTTTTTTTTGCTTTTACTGGTGCGCATTGGTTAACGTTAGTTTCGTGTTAGTTTTTGCATGTTTGTTTCTGGATGTATTTTTTCTCAAAGTGTTTTGTATTATATTTGCTGGATATTATGTTTTTGTATTTGTAGGATGACGCATATTTTTTGTGGCCATCTCTGACGATAACCCCTGAGCAACATGTGGTTGGCTGGTTGTTGCCTGAAAGTTTGTCGGAAAGTTGGCAATAGGAGGATCATAAACATACGATCATAATCATCGGCCTCAATAAAATTTTTTCCATTTTGTGCATCCTTCTTCATTTCTCAATGGTCTTTTGAATACGTTTTGTCATTTTTTTTATAAGTTGAAGTTTTCCACATGTACAAACATACACTGTACAAATATAACTTTTTGCGTACACACACATGCGTACACAAAGATAACTCACACCACACCACGCACACACATTTAAACACGCGCACACGCACATTCTTTGCATCTTCTGCAAGGACTGTTAAAATGTCCACACCTAAATGTGTTTTATTGCATTAGCTCATACACATCATGCTCCAACATCAGCCAGCCAACCAACGAGATGCAATTGTACATAATGGGAGAGAGAGACAGACTACATACATGCCTGGATACAATTCTTTTGTTCATCCTCTGTGTGTATATTCTGGATGTTGTTGTTTGTGTGTGTGTGTGTGTGTGTTTGTGTGTGTGTGTGTGTGTGTGTGTGTGTGTGTGTGGTTGCTATATGAATATGTTCATGTTTTCTTATATCCTGTCGCCTTCTGTTCGATAGTGTGCGGCTCCGTATTCTCATTTGTTCTGACTTTGCGTTTGAAAAGTTATTGTTGTGGCATGTATTGTGAGATGGGTTTATTGTTGTGAAGACTTTCTTTCACCCTTTGAATGGAAGTGAGCGTTTTCATCAGAAGATTAATGTACGGTGCAATTTGTTTATTTTCAGTTTCAGTATTATGGGAACCAACTTGGTATTACAATATTTCATTTTCAGTAGAATTTTCTAGATTATTTTTTTATATTTAAAGAAGTTTAAACAACAAATTTATTTCAAAAGTGTTCGAGTGAATGTTGATTTTATTTTTGAACCAGACTTGATATGGTAGTTACTAATGTCGATGTTGTTGTTATTGTTGAAGGTGTTTTTGAAGCTGGTAACGATGTTGTTTACGATGAGAAACAATGTTGTCGGCTATGTAGATTCAATAATTGCCTGGTCTGTGGTGTTTCATGCTTGTTAGGCAATACATTTTGAACTAACAGCATTATTATCGGTCATTTTTAGTTGAAAGTATATATTTGTCTACAATATCTTTGGACGCTTTATCTTCTAGTAGTTATTCCGTCGTAGTGTTGTTTTCATTCAGTACAATAAATCCATCAAAAATGAAAATATAAAATTGAAAACATAAATGTTTAGGATCGACAACAAAGTTTAAGTAAGTGTGCGTCTTTTACTATAGTTGTTTTTCATAATAGGTATCTCTGCAGTGCCAGCCGAAACATAGCGAAGGTATGCCTGATATCTCAGAATTTTTAAGATATTGCTCTAATGTGTTTCGGTATGTTTGTTTGTTTGTTTGTTATTTGTTTATTCGTATATCTGTATGCATGTGGTGTCCGTTCGGTGTTATGTCCTGGTTGAATATACAACCAAATAATCATGTAATGAATGTTTTGTAATTGTGCACTGCTTGTTTGTTAACGGTAAAAGTTCATATGGGTAGAGAGGTAGAATCCACATTCATGTTTATTTATTTGCATTAATATAAATATATATACATACATAAATATATATATATATATATATATATATATATATATATATATATATAAAATATTGGCTCATACAATAGATAAGTGATTGCTTGTTTGCTGCGGAAAGGACTGAGGTGGGTGATGTAATGCTCCAAATGCATTTAACCCAAAGATATTAATGCCTTTTCCATTTTATCTTTCTATCTTTATTTATTGGCTTGGATTAATCACCTGGCTTGCAGGTCTAATTGCTTACACATGTTCATGAATATTTATACATTTGTGCCTGTGAGTGTATATAGATAGACACGTGCGCATACATAAGTATGTACGTACATACACACATATTTATACATTCATAATGATGTTTATGGTGATTTTTATACATGTATAATGATGTATCCAACTGTTCTGTGAATGTGTCTGTGTGGTGTACTGTGAGGTGTGTGTTTGGTGTGTCGTGTTGTGTGTGTGTGTTGTGTGTATGTGTGTGTGTGTGTGTGTGTGTGTGTGTGTGTGTGTGTGTGTGTGTGTGTGTGTGTGTGTGTGTGTGTGTGTGTGTGTCGTTCAGTTGAAAGATTTCTTCATTGAAATTCTGTGAATGTTTTATGGCCAGACTGACTAATTGCATTACCAGATGAACTGTGATGTGGTATGTATGATTCCACATTCACTGGAATACCTCATATTGTTGATGTGTTATTTCCTTTCCTTCTCCCAACAATTCTTTGGTTTTTTTTTTATTGTTTACCACTTAACATGACATGTTTATATGAAAAGTTAAATTTATTTGGTCTTTTCCATTTCCAGTTCTCACATTTTTGTTTTAATTACAGCATCAGCTTAGACAAATTGCTCAAGGTTTTGCAATCTTTTTACCCACACACATCTGTTTATTTTTTATTATTTTCAGCCATTCCATAGCTAGTAGAGTTTGCTGGTTGGTTCAGTAATGTAGCTTTCTTTTCTTATTTATTCAATTATGTTAGAGATATCATGTTTCTCAAAGTACCACAACCAATTCTCATGGGTCATTCACTCAACACGTCACTCACCACACCACGTCACTCACTTCACCACATTACTCACCACATCACATCACCCACGTGCTGTGTTGTCGGTGTAAAGTTGGTTGAGTGAAGCAGAGAAGGATGAAACTGTCACATAAACAAAAGTTTTTATCCTTATTCACGCAACCCTTCAATTAAGTTTTCAAATTTTAAATTGAGTTAGTTTTAGAAATAATCAAACGGAAAGAAGGTTTTCTTTTGGCTGCAGTGAACAGAAAATTATGAGAAAATATTGAGTTTTTTTAATGTTTTATTTGCATTTTTCCCCAGGAATTTTTGATATTTCAATGTAGAAAATAAAATTCTTTCTTGTTAGATTTAGTTGAGGTAATTGAGTTTTTTTCATGCGACGTTTGGTTTGTTCAGACTGATTTTCTCCTGGTATTTAATTCTTCATTTAAAAGAGAATGAAAATATTATCCCATCATATGTTTCATTGTTTGCCTGCCTACTCGGCTACTGATACTTTTGTTAGTAACTTTTGGAAAGAAATTTCTGAATTCTTGACATTTCTTAATAATTCTCTTTTTTGCCGGTAGGATTATTGTTATCATCATTGTAACCGACATTTAATAAACATCGTTATTATCATTGTTATCATCTTCATTATGTTGTTATCAAACTTTTTTTTATTGATATTATTACCATCATTCGTGCTGTTATTTTTTATTATTATTATTATAGTTATTGTTGTGTTGTTTTTGCAATCTCATTTATTAAAGTTATTGCTATAACTTTGGTGATGGTTGTCTGAAACGAAATTGACAGGCCAGGCTCAAGTGTTTGATTGTCTGGGTAAGGACATTTTGAAGAGAGCTTTTGAAGGGTACAATGCCTGCATATTTGCTTATGGACAAACTGGTTGGCGTTCATTTATTCATTCATTCATTCAAATTTATTCATTTATTAAATTTTTATCAGTCATTCACTCAGTTTCATTCATTCATTTAACTAAGTTCATTTGGTCTATAATATTAATGATCAGCGTATAAACGATGCTGAGTTGATGCTTGGTCGTATTTATAAATAATATGAAGGTTCAAGTTTCATAATATTTTTTTGCTATTTTGTAAACACATCCAAAGGAAAGTTGTCATATCAAAACAATGTTTCTCCCTTATAGATGGTATGAACTCAGCTGCAAATCTAGCTTAGGAACAATAATTTCTAAGTGTTATATGTTTAAATTTCAAATAGCACCTAGAAGATGAATGAACTAACTGTCTAAGGGCTGTTGAAATTATTTGTTATGTGTGTATGAACATAAACCAATCCACATATTATATACTGACGCACTATAATATGAGGGAATAAGCCAGTAGTGCTTCATTTGTTGACAATTAGCAATGCAATGAGCACCACCATTGATTGAGTTAAGTAACATTACATTATATTTCATTGCGTTACTGCACAACTGCATGCTCCGATGGATGGCTTAATGCTTATTTATGAGACTGCATGCTGCTATTGTTGATTGCTGTGGTATAATTGGAAGATGATGATGATAATGATGATGATGATGTTTAGATGATGATTGTGATGATGATGATGATGATGGAGTTCTTGTTTCTTTAAAAGGTTTCCAATTTCACACAACATGTGATGTACTAAGCAATGCTTGCAAATTTAATTTAAAAAAAAACTTTTTTAAGCAAGAAAAAAGAGAAAAAAGCAGTTTGAGGCAGCTTTTTTTGGTGATAACATCTCAAGATAATACGTTGTTTTGAGGAGCAGTCAGAAATAAATTAAACATTTTTTAAAAATTTGTATAAGAAAAATTGAACTAAGATTTAAAGAAAAATTTCATCGTTGCACTTGAAAGGTTCAGGCAAGTCGTACTCGATGATGGGCACGAGTGATCAGAAAGGAATCATCCCACGACTCTGCGATGCCCTTTTCGATGAAATTGTCCAGAGCACTGACAGCGAGACCAACTTCAAGGTGGAGGTCTCCTATCTCGAGATCTACAACGAGAAAGTCAGGGACCTCCTCGATCCTAAAGGGTTAATGGGTGGTCTTCTTTGGCGGTTGTGATGTTTCGCTGATGAATTAATTGTTGGTTGGTGGTTATATGATGATTGTTTGATGTCATGATGATTGGGATAGCTTAATGACTAATTGGCAACAATGTTATTATTAAGAAAAGAAATATTTTTTAGGATTTCATGTTTTATTATCTTCAGTATTTTCTCTTCAAGTCTTTTTTTTTAATTCTGGCTAGCAAGCAAGCGTGACATAAATTATCATTAGTCTTTATAATGGTGATGGCTATGTTGATAAAAATGATGGAAGCTGTAGGTCTTGCAAATTAATTGGGTTAAGCAGTGTGGATTGGTAAATAAACTGAATGCACAGCAGGGCGTAAGTTAATTAATTCATCAAGAAATAACACACACATGTGCTGTATAAATTCACACACACACACACACGCAAACACATATGCGCGCACACACGTACACAGAAATTCACACACAGACATTCACACACACGCGCGTTTCCTAACACTCCATCCAGATGCAAACAAATAGGATTAGCTGAGATTGTGGGACAATTTGCAACCATTTATAAGCCTTAAAAATCTTTTTAGATGGAATAAGCCTTTTTATTGAGAGGCTCTGCTCTTGGACATGCATATTTGATGGTCTGTTATCATTTGCATGAGGTCGAGAAGTTTAACGTGACATTTCTCAAGGCAAGAGCGTAGGGCTCTGTTTAATGTTGATGTTTTATTCTTATAATTCATTTTGAAAATCTTCATCACGCAGAGATTTGAATTTATAAATAAAAATTTTTATTCTAAAATATAAAAATATAATTATTCTATGTGTCTCTCTATGTTTGTACTCTAAGTAGAAATACTTTTTTTATATCAATATTATTTTGTATGCTTCTGTTATGTTTAAATGATGCTGCCTACCTTCAAAATGTTCAAACACGTTATATGAACAAAGACAGTAGCACACTACCATCTTGTGTTTCTGTACTAACAATAATAACAACTAAACAACAGTAATATATCTTCTACTATCAAACAACGGCGTATCATTGTTCTTATCTGACTTGCACTTTATCAATGCCAGAAAATCAAAGTTAACAACATACTGGGAGCTAAGCTTCTTTTTTCATCCAATGTTTTTATTATCAGATATAAATAATAATAATAATTATTATTAATATTTTGCCAATAAAACTTGTAGCTACTTGCTGTCATTATTATTATTATTATTCGTTGTTGGGTGTTTTTTCATGCCCTACATAAATGTTTCAGCACTTGATGTTTCATGATAAGCATGCCTGATGTGATGAACTAACTAACTGTTCATTCACTACTCATGGGTATGTATGCATTCATCCATTTGTTTTTCTCACATGTCAACTTATATTCAACAAGTTTTCATATCAATTCTACACATTTATAATAATAATAATAATAATAATAATACAAACAACAACACACGTTTAGACGACATTTTCTCCGTGATCGGGGGTTGCCGTTTGGCTACCTATGATGAAACCGAAATACCCCTCGACGCCATCCACATCTGTCACTCGCCTCAGTATCACGCAACCCCGCTTTCACCCTGTCCTTCTCCACCTGCTCTCTCCATCCCAATCGCGGACGACCCCTTTCTACCACTCCTTCAACCTCGAACTCCAACGCTCGCCTAATCCCGACCCTTTCATCCCTTCTCAACACACGCCCATACCACCGCAATCTCGATCTCCTTATCAATGTCACAATGTCCTCATTCAGTCCCATCATCGACATCAGCTCTGTACTACTCCTCCTATCCTTCACTTTAACCCCACACATCATCCTCACCATAGCTCTTTCAGCCCTCTGCAGTACACTTTCTTCCTCTCTCCTCAACACCCAAGTTTCACCACCATATACCATCGCTGCTTTCACACATGCTTTATATACCCTCCCTTTCATCTTCACTGACCATTTCTTTCCACACAATACCCTACCCAGTTCCCTAAATTTCATCCATCCCACACGAACTCTAGCCGTAACTGCGCTCAAACATCCTCCATCCGCGTTCAGCTTATCCCCTAAGTAAACAAAGCTTTCCACTCTTTCAATACCACCACTCAACCCCGTCCTTGCGTCCGTCCTATTAATCACACCATGAACACATTTCTTACATTTGAACGTGCCTTCCACCTTTTTCAGTGCCCCCCTCACACCACTACATCTCTTATGCACCCATTTCTGACATCCTATACACAATACCGAGTTAGCCTTCACTCTCCTGTCACATACCCCACAGGGGTCTATTTTACTTATCACTCGCTCCCCACCTTCCCCACTCACCATTACATTCGTCTTATCAATATTAACTTTTAACCCTTTCTTTTCAATAAAACTTTTCCATCTGTCAAATTTTAACCGCAATTCTTCCATGCTATCAGCCATCAAGACTAAATCATCTGCATACAAAATCTCAAATAACAACCCCTCCATTATGTTTCCACACACAACATCCATCACAATTGCAAACAGAAACGGTGATAACACTGATCCTTGATGCACTCCTATCTTTACACTAAAAGCGTCCGACACCCCCCTTCCAACCCTCACCTTTGTCTTTGCCGCCCCTTCATACAGCTGCATCACAGCTTTAACAAGTCTCTCATTCACTCCTTTCTTCCTCAACGCCCATTCAATGACCTTCCTCGGTACTCGATCAAAAGCCTTTTCTAGATCCACAAAACACATGTACAATCTTCGTTTCTTCTTTCTATAATTCTCCTGCAACATTCTCACTATGAACAACGCATCCACCGTTCCCCTACCAGGCATAAACCCAAACTGCATTTCATTAACTGTCACCATATTTCTCAACCTCCTCTCAAGCACCCTCTCCACTACCTTCATTCCGTGCTCTAGCAATTTCACACCCCTATATGACCCGCAATCTCTTTTGCCCTTATACAACGGCACCAACACACTGTGTCGCCAATCCTCAGGTATACCTTCATCATCAAACATACTGTTAGCAATTCTCATCATAACTTCAATTCCTATCATCCCACTCGCTTTTATATGTTCTGCCGCCACTTCCGAAACCCCTGTCGCCTTACCTAGTTTCATTTCTCTAACTGCTTTCTCTACTTCCTCCATCGTCACCTTCTCTATAGGTCCGTGTGTGACCGCGGATTCCACATCTCCATCCCACTCATTCTCTTCATTCATCAACCTTTCCATATGAGCTCTCCACACCTGAGCTTTTTCCTCCTCATCTATGCACAACTTGCCAGATCCATCCCAAACACATCCATTCCCTATAACATCTTTCCTATCCCTCATTGACTGCTTTGCTACTTTGAACATTTTCCTCGAACTCACATCAAATTTCATTTCCTTCATTAACCTATCTCATG